CAAGGAAACACTGCTTAGTTTAAAATTAAGGTGTGTGTGAGGGTTGTTTTCTTTTTTGCATACCTGTTGACTCTGTAGGGGAGCCTTGGTGGCCTAGTCAGTAGTGAATCTCACTGCCTATTCAAAGGCCAACAGTTTGACTCCACCAGCTGCTCTGAGAGAGACAAATGGGAAATCTCCTCCCATGTGGTTTACAGGCTCTTAGAACCTGCTGGAAAGTCAGCTGTCTCCTCCGGTGTGGTTTATTGGCTCTTAAAACCTGCTGGGAGGTCAGCTATGAATCGATTCTGATTCCTTGGTAATGAATTTGAATATTGCATTTGTATGCTGAGCATGTAATTCGAGAAGTTGGACAATAGGAAGAATGTAGTATTAGAATTTAAGAAAAACTTGTCAGCAGCCTATATTCTGCTGATAATCTTGCTTTCAAAAACTGAAGAGGACTTGAAAAACCTGGTGAAAAAGATTAAAGACTATATGTTGTTGTTATTGTTGTTATGAGCCATCGAGTTGCCTGCAACTCATAACGACCATATGTACAACAGCCCTAAACCTTGCTCTATCCTGTGCCAATTGTATTGTCTCTGACACCCCTACTTACATTACCCCAGACACGGAATCAATCCATCTCATTGAGGATCTTTCTCTCTTGTACCTCCACCCTCCAAAGCATGACATCCCTCTCCAAGGACTGGTCTCTCCTTGCCACATGTCCAGAGTATATCAGATGAAGCTTCAGAATCCTTGGCTACAATGAGCAGCCTGGTTTTACTCTCTCCAGTATGAACCTGTTTGCTCTCTTTGCAGTCCATGGTATATTTAATACTCTTCTCCAGCACTACCACTTAACGGCATCAATTCTCCTGTCGTCCCTAGTTTTTTCCTAGCTTTCTGATGCATAGTAAGTAATTGCAAAGACCATGGCCTGTATCAGGTGCACCTTAGTCTCCAGATTAACATCATTGCTCTTCAGTACTTTAGAGAGGTCTTAGCAACCTTTCCCAACTCAATTTGTCTTTTAATTTCCTGATACCAAGAGTGTTGATTGTGGAGCCAAGCAAACTAAAGCTATTAACAGTCTCAGTCTCTTTGCCATCTATCCTGATTCTGCCAATCGTCCCAGTGGTGAGAATCTTTCTTTTCTTGATGTTCAGCTTCAATCCATATTGAAGGCTGTAGTCCCTGACCTTCTGCATAATGCAGATTGTTGATGAGTCTTCCTCCAATCCTGAATGTCACATTTCTCCTCATAGAGCCCAGCCTCCTGGATAATCTTTTTTGCATATAGATTGAAAAGGTATGGAGACAGGACATAGCCCTGGTGTATGCTTTTCCAGTATCCTCTAGTATATTACATCTCATCATTAAGCAAACAAAAATCCTCATCACTGGACCAATAAGCAATACTATGATAGATTGAGAGAAGATTGAAGTTGCCAAGGATTTAATTTTATTTGGGTCCACAACACCTTTGGTAGCAGCAGCCATGCAATCAATAGATGTGTTGCCGTGGAAAAAGCTTTGACAGGTACATCGTTAATGTGTCAAAGAGCCAGGATATCAGTTCTAAGAGTAATGTGTGCCTGATCCAAGTCATGATTTTTTACATATATCTGAAAGGTAGAATGAAAAAAATGAAGAATTGAAGCCTTTACATTGTGTTGGCCAAGAATATTGACTGTCCCACGGACTGCCAAAAGAACAAATCTGTCTTGGAGAAAGTGCATCCAAGATGCTCCTTAGAGGCAAGTGTGGCGAGATTTTGTCTTATGTGAGGCATAATGTCAAGAATCCTTGGAAAAAGACATGCTGGGAAAGGAAGAGAGTGAAAGAAATGGAAGACATTGAATGAGATGAGTTGGCATAGTGATTCTTCAGTGCGCTTGAGCATTGCAGAGATTATAGTGCTGGTGCAGGATGGGAAAAGGCTCAGATAATGTTGTTCATAGGGTTAACATGACTTATAGGAGACTTGACAGTGCCTAACAACAATAACATGTAGTCCTCAAGTCTGTATGTTGTTGTTGTTTTTATGTGCCGTTGAGTCGCTTGCGACTCATAGTGACCCTATGTACAACAGCCCTAAACTCTGCTCTGTCCTGTGCCAATCGCACTGTCTCTGACACTCCCATCCCGATTACCCCAGTCGCTGAATCAATCCACCTCATGGAGGGCCTTCCCCTCCTGTGCTGTCCCTCCACCCTACCAAGCATGATGTCCCTCTCCAAGGACCGGTCCTTCCTTACAGTGTGGCCAAAGTATGTTAGATGGAGCCTCAGAATCCTTGCCTCCAAGGAGCCACCCGGTTTAACCCTTTCCAGGATGAATCTGTTTGTTTTCCTAGCAGTCCTTGGTACCCTCAATACTCTTCTCCAGCACCACAGCTCAAAGGCATCAATTCTCCTTCTATCCTCGTTAGTCATTGTCCAACTCTGATGCATAACACGTGATAACAAAGACCATGGCCTATATCAGATGCACCTCAGTCTCCAGAGAGACACCATTGCTCTTCAGTACTTTGGAGAGGTCCCTAACAGCAGACTTGCTGTATAGGATATTCAGCATAAATTACAGAAATATAGAAAGAGGTTCAAGGATATTCAGTTTAAAGATTTATTGAGTGGAATAAAGCATATTATCAAATATTTAAATGTGCTGATGTATAAAATCTTTACACTTCAAAATTAGATATTTTGCAAAGGGCTAAGTGTGTTGCACTGTTGTAAAAAATCCCCACAATATAACTGTTTTCCTTTGAATTTCTCAGTGTTATTTAGGTTATTGAAGATCATAAAGCAAAATATCTAATGAGAGAAAACATGTCCTTAAATATATTTAAGTAATATATTCGTTTTTAAAGGATGTGTTAGCTGTTTTGAATGATCTTCTGCAGTATTTTGCTTGCATGTGATGTTAATGGTAGTGTTCAATAGTTTGAATGTGTTCTATATAGTTCAATAATTTTTGAAAAATGAAATGGAACACATGAATATCGATATTCTAGGCATTAGTGAGGTGAGATGGCTACTTTGAATCAATCATTTGGATATTATGCTGGGAATGAAAAACAGATAAAGAATGGTGTTACATTTATAGTCAAGAAGTTAATTTCAAGTTCTATCTTGAAAATATAGTGTTGTGGGTGATAGAATATTACCCATATGCATACAAGGAAGACCTCTTGATACAACTATTATTTAAATATACATTTCTACATCTAGAGCCAAAGAGGAAGAAATTGAGAATTTTACCAAATCTTGCAGTCCGAAATTTACTGAATACACAATCAAAATATGTTAATGATTACTGGTGACTGGAATGCAAAAGTTGGAAACAGTGGAGAAGGAATAGTAGTTGGGAAATTTGGGCTTGGTATAGAAATGAGGCTGAAAATAGAATCATCCAATTTTGTATTTTCAGTGATTTATTCATTGCAGATAGTTTTTTTTTAAAGACACTAGCAATGGCCTTTCATGTAAGATGGAGCCAAAAGCCCCTGGCCCTCTCAAAACTGAAACCAAAGCAAAGGCATTAAAGGCCAAGAAGCAGTGCTAAATAAAGGGCATCCACAGCCACCAAAAAAAAAAAAAAAACACACGTCATCCACCTTCCAGTGGCCTAACATACTGAGATTCCAAAGGCAACCCAAATACCCCTAGAAGAGCGCCCCCAGGAGAAACTTGACCACTATGCCATCATCAAGTTTCCCTGACCACGGAGACAGCCATGAAAAAGATAGAAGATAACACCACACTTGTGTTCATTGTGGATGTCAAGGCCAACAAGCACCAAATCAAACAAGCTGTAAAGAAGCTTTGTGACACTGATGTGACCAAGGCCAACACCTTGATTAACCTGATGGGAGAGAAGGTCTATATTCGACTTGCTCCCGACTATGATGCTTTAGATGTTGCCAACAAAATTGGGATCATCTAAACCAAGTCCAGCTGGCTAATTCTAAATACAAATTTTCCCCAACAACAAGACACCATGAGTAAAATATTAATTCATGTAGTGAATTAAAAAAAAAAAAGACCAATGATGACTTTACATATGGCTCTCACCTGCTGGACCACATCTGTGGAAGAAGTCATTGCAAAAGCTCAAGAATTGCTATGAGTCAGATTTGACCTAGTGGCAAGAAATTGCTCTGCAACCCCAAAGGCACACATTATCAAATACATCAGCTGCTCTGTGGGAGAAAGATGAGCATTGTCCTCCTGTGCGATTAACTGCCTCTAAAAACCCACCAGAGGGTCAGCTGTGAGCTGGTTTTGACTCAATGGTACATACAATAACAGATGTAATATGGAAGCACGTATGTGATTCATCATTTGGTAGCAGAAGTGGGGGGGGTTTATTAATTTTAATAAAAATTTACAGACTTTGGATTTCCTTTCATTCATTGTTGCACTTTTCTCCTTGCCCACTCCCCACCCCCCCCCAGTTCACTCTTCTTTTTGAAAAGTAAAAGAAAAATTCTTTCATTGTTTTACAATCCTCTCCCCCCCACACCAGGTCCACTCCACTGTGCACCTTCATTCTGGACTCCTGTTATGACAATAATACCTAATCACATATTCCTTTTAAACAGTTTTCTCCCTCATCTGTTTCAATGCAGTATACATTATTGAACCCATCTTTCTCAGTCTCCCCCCAATCCCGATGTCAGTCCTGTTTTACAACAGTGGCACTATGCAGTATTTGTCCTTTTGTTACTGAGATATTTCACTCAGCATAATGTCCTCCAGGGTCACCCATTTCCAGTAATAATTCATGAGTTCATTGTTTTTCAATGCAGCATAGTATTCCATTGTGTGAATATACCAGAGCTTCTCAATCTATTTGTTTGTTGATAGGCACTTAGGTTGTTTCCAGCTTTTTGCTATTGTGAACAAAAAGCCACAATAAACATGGGTGCATATAAGTGTGGGTTTTCTAAAGTTACTGAATATATAAAAGCTTTTTTGTAATTAAAATTTTTTCCCCTATTTATAGGAATTACTTTGTACAGAAATCTTGTGAGACCACTTTACAAATAGGACAATGATTGTACAAAGAGTGGTGTTAAATTCCAGACCTGGTATGTATTTGTCTGTAATAAGTTTTTAATTATTTTAAATGCTAATGGAGGACTATAAAGTAATGTGATGCCAATGTGGTAAATGAAGGTGGTACGATTTTAGTACCAGTAGAGTGATTAGAAGTTTACACAGTTTAAACTTCAAATTGTCATGTGATGATTTACTAAGGCCCTTTGTTGAAGAGATTATAAATATTTTATATTAATTATAACATTTAAATTAGAGGTTTTTCATTTCTACTGTATATTAGATATCAAGAAAACAATGATTCTCATCACTGGCCTAATTGGCAGCATCAGTATGGATGGTGAAGAGATTGAGATAGTTAACAGTTTTCGTTTCCTTGGCACCACAGTTAACATTCTTGGTACCAGCAGCCGGGAAATCAAGAGATGAATTGCATTGAGAAAGTCAGCTGTGGACCTCTCCAGAGTACTGAAGAGCAACAATGTCAGTCTGGAGACTAAGGTGCACCTGATATGGGCTGTAGTCTAAGCAGTTGCGTGCTATGCATTGGAGAGCTGGACAGTGACTAGGGATGATAGAGAATTGATGCCTTTCAGCTGTGGTGCTGAGGAGTAGCGTTAAATATACCATAGACTGCTCGAGAACAATCAGGTTTGTCCTGGAGAGGGTGAAGCTGGCTGCTTCTTGGAGTCAAGGATTCTGAAGCTTCATCTGACATACTTTGGGCATGTTGCAAGGAAGGAACAGTCCTTGGAGAGGGACATCATGTTTGGGAGTTTGGAGGGACGGCGCAGGAAAGAAAGACCCTCAATGAGAAGCATTGATTCAGTGATTGAGCTAGTGGGAGTAGGTGTATCAGAGACAATGAGGTTGGCACAGGATAGAGCAGGGTTTAGGACTCTTGTATATAGAGTCACTATGAGTCACAAGCAACTCGGTGGCACATAACAACAACAACCAACCCTGATTGAAATAGTTAGCAGTTTTCATTTGCTTGGCACCACAGTCAACACTCTTGGTAACAGCAGCCAAGAAATCAGGAGACAAATTGCATTGGGAAAGTCAGCTGTGAGGGACCTCTCAAGAGTGTTGGAGTGCAACGACTTTAAGCTGGAGACTCAGGTGAGCCTGATACAGGCTATAGTCTTCACAATTATGTCCTATGCATAGGAGAGTTGGACAGTGAATAGGGATGATAGAAAGAGAATTGATGCCTTTGAGCTGTGGTGCTGGAGAAGAGTGTTGAATAT